TTTTTTTCATCCATTCATGGAATTAAAGGAACCGTATGGGACTGTATTGTATCGTCAACCCATAAGGTTTAGTTCAACTTTTTGTTCAAAATCACGCGCCCACCATTGCCATCCCATAATATTCCGCACTATTTGGCACCTTCGCTCCGCGAAGCTCCGACACCACCACGAAGGAGGCACGCGATTGGCTGTTTTCCATTACACCCAAAAATGTCAATTTTTTCGCGAAATCACGTTTTCCTACTTTCGTGAGGAAAAACATGATTACCCATGAAATAGGAAAACTTTTCCAGCCTGTTTTGATTTTCAAGTATTAAAAAACATCATAGCAAAAATTGATCGTGGTGACATAAAAAGATGTTTCATTCTAATCAATAATAGCTGTTCCGATATCCGAGTTTCTTCCCCTGACCGTGAATAGTGCAACACCGAAACATCACGGTGAATGCCTCGCCCTACAACTTTCACATTGATTTTGGGTTGGTCCTGTGAATTCAGAACTTTCTTGGAGGGGAGGATGAAGGGGGCTGATTGAAAAAATCGTTTTTGCCCGTTAAAGTACACTTGGGGAGTTTTAATTTTTGTTGCTTCCCCTTTTGTTCTCGTTGCTATTCACAATTCTGTCGAGTTAGTTCCCCTGTTGTTTCACCGAAACAGCTGGCCAATGGCTCAGTTGGTTATATAACCTACTCTTACTATGTAGCCTACATGTATAATAATATAAACTTGACAAGAATTCGAAAGTTCCAGACCAGGGCCAAAACCCAAAGAGCCACTGCATGCTGTCATCCATCGAGATGTATTTTCTGAACAGACCAGTGCGAGAAGTCTGTGCGTTTAAGCCTTCGGCATAGGTTTAATATGGGTGATCCAACTTCACTTGAGATTTTAGCGCCGCCAGGAAACCTGCGCCGTCAATGGAAGGAAACCCAAGATTGTAACCGCAAAATACCCCCATTAAATTGAATTTTGTACTCAATGATAATGAAGTTCACCTTTGAAGTCAGTCATTGGCGTCTTGCAGTGGAAGCAAAAAAATGTCTACAGCAGGCCTACAGTAATTTATCCTTTCCTTTTTATATAAATCTATCAATCTATCGATCTGTCGATCTATCTATCTATCTATCTATCTATCTATCTATCTATCTATCTATCTATCTATCTATCTATCTATCTATCTATCTAACTATCTATCTATCTATCTATCGATCTATCGATCTATCGATCTATCTATATCTGTTATATAAATATATGTCTGTCGCAAGTATAGATTGGTACCCATAGCAAGAGGCGAACAAATCAAGCACATGCTTGACCTTATACAAATATACAAAGCACTATACAGTCAATATAAAATCATTACACTTGGAACGAGCATGGAAGAACTTCAGTAAGCGGCACGGTGGGGCCATCAGTATAACAGGGTCAAGGGGGATTTCTTTGAACAGGGTTTAGGCTTGATGCGCTGCTGACTTTCCATGCCATAGAGGCTACCTAACGCCAAGGGAAACGATTCTGCTATGACTAGATGAAGAACAATATTATGATAAGTTATTTCCCCTAGCCTCAAGCATCGGGCGTGTAACGATAATCTGTAACCTCCTTGCGATAGAAGGCCTAATTATACAAAGTCGTGCGGGAATAAAAAGGAAGATTATCACTATGCAGGTGCCAAAATGGTTTATTGCAGACACACAGTGGGTGCTCTGCGTCTTGTATAGGCTAGCGTAGTGTACCTGCTCTGGCGGCTGGTTCACTGACGACCTTGCGGGGCAAATTTAGCCTACATTAGTTAAGTATAGGGACCGTAGGCTTACAACTTAAGCAGTTGGTAGTAACGAACTAACTAACAAAACATATAAATTTTTTTTAAAGTATAGGGCCTGTGTAGGCCTGTGTGCATCATGTTGTACAGTTCACCCACCGTCTGCGTTCACCGTTCACTCCTTGAAGCTTAGTAGCTCTGCTGTGGGCATGCCAGTGCCAGTTGCCCAGCAAGATCGGAATGCAAACATCTCCGTCTCTTCCAGTTTACTAACCAAACGCCCGCCCCTGAAGCGCAGTTGACCAAAATGTGAGTTACAATCTAAGTGTGATCCAAGTCTTTTTACTGTCATAACCAATAGGTTATAGGCTACGTGTACATGCATTTCGTGATTTTTAAAAAAAGTTCTTCTGTAAGAATACAATGTGTTCTGGTTTCGAAAAGAATCATGACTCATTGTCAAAATGGACATCATAGCGACGCTAAAAATACCGTAATAATAAACCTAGATAAGTAAATAAACGCATACATATATAAATAAATAATTTTTCTTAAATAAATGAGTGAAAAAATGAATAATTAAATGAATGAACGTGTAAACGAATAAATAAATAAATAAATAAACCGTCGTATTTTGCGGATGTACGGTACTTAAGGCAAGCACTAATACAATTTTTTTGGTGTTTTTGGCTTGAAAAATCGATTTCCAGATTCGGGGCTAGAAATAATGTTACACCATTATACTACATGTTCCACATGTTTCCAACCTTAAGAAAACACCAAAACTATACACATTTTCTGTTTTTGTAACCAATGGGTAATCTTTATGGATTGCAAAAAAGGCCTAAGCTGTTAGTTTTGGTTTATAAAACATTGTAATTGTAGCAACCAGCATAATATGTTACTTTGAATAGAAGGTTGACATATGGTATACCACTGAAAACGGCATTTAATGATCAATCTGGTAAAATAACTCCCATTCATTCAAAAACACTGTAAGCCGTTGAAATAGGTCAACAGATTCTACCAAACAGATTCGGGAGTTTCTCTAAGAGCTGATGACACAATCATTTCAATTAATTCAATTCGTGCCTCCCTTTGGCATTTCAGCACCCGTCACTGAAAATTTTCTCAAATTGCCAAGTTGTTTTCCAAGATATTTATGTGACATTTTGCAAGGATGTGTAGAAGTGGTGTCTAAATGCCGCTATGAAGAGATTTTGGGCATATTGCCTTTGAATTGGACAAAATTCTTGGCTGTGTTAGTAGGGTGATTTTTTAAACTAAGGTATATAATTATAAGATAAGATAAGATTAGATAAGATACAACTTTATTGTCCAGATCCTGGCACATTGGTTTGGTGTTACACCACGAGTATACACACACACACACACACACACACACACACACACACACACACACACACACAAACACACACACGTACGCACGTGCACACACATACACACACAAGTAGGCTTACAATCACATGCATAATATAAATGAGCAGCAATATAAACAATAATAATCGTAAGCTAGATACACACTCAATGTTATTTTGATGCATGCTCTAAGGTCGTAAGTACACCCCAACAAGATGGTTAAGATAGAAGCATTTTGATAGATGATGGTAAAAATGACCTTCTGTATCTTTCTTTGTTACAGATCAGAAGCATGGGTCTTTTACTTCTGACTGATGTATTTATTTGAGGGAATAAGGGATGTTTGTTGTCTAAAAAGATTGAATTAATTTTCTTAGTGCAAGCTGTTATGTACAATTCATCCAAGTAGGGGAATGAAGATGTTGAAATTTTATATGCTTTCCGTATTAGTCGATTTAATTTTTCTTTATCTTGTTGTCTTGTGTTCCCGGCCCATGCTTTTATGCAAAAATTGATCATACTCTCTATGGTTGAATGGTAGAACATGGACATCAATGTTTTATCAACTTTAAAATACTTTAGCTTTCTTAGAAAAAATAGTCTTTTGTTCACTTTTTTATGCAGGAGAGAAGTGTGGACACGCCAGTTGAGTTTGTTGTCTATTGTAACACCCAAATACATATAAAATAGTCTTAAATATCATGTTTTCTTTTCATTATGGCACACCTATGTGTGTTAAGTATGTACACTGCAACTCTGAGGGCTATATATCTTGAACAGTTTTGTTTTTTTAAGAAATGAGAAAATGTGAAAATCATAAAGAATTCAAGATGGCCGCCACGGTGACCACATTTTTTTGCGAAAATTTACAAAAAAATCTTTGACATGTTCTTTACATGACCCTTTAATGTCACTGTAGTCATGTTTCAAGATACTGTTGTCATGACCAGCAAAAATACTCAAATCTATTAAATTAGTGCTTGCCTTAATGAATGACTGCTATTGTGTCGAATGTATTTATTACATAAGCAATGTCATTTAAGTTACTCTGTTTGAACTTCTTAAGTTGTGCTTATCATTATTTGTTCATTTTTCTGAACAGTTGAACTTTGGCGTTTTGTGGGAAGAAATTAGGTGTTGAGAGGAAATGTGTTACGAAACCTCCTATGGGATGTTGCAGGGAGTCTGTGGGGGTGTCGTGGGCTGTGATATCATAATAATATTGCAGTCTGTGTGCTGTCGTGGGGAGCTGTTTCATACTCAGTGAACCTGGCCTCGCATTCAAAGAATTAGTTGGATCATATTCTAATTTATTTGGGGAATCCGAGGTTTCGGTGAAAACAAAGTATGACGAATACGAACTTACATGATTGATATTTCTATACAGTCGTTCATCTCAAAATTTAAGGTCCCTTGTTCTGGATATTCTATCGTTTTGACCTATTCTAAAATTATTCATTTTGATAAAATTACCGATAATTAATTAATTAATATATTTATCCATCTATTCATAGGTTTAATTATTTATTTATTTACTTATTTACTTACTTACTTATTTATTTATTTAGGCATATGTATATATTTATATTTGTTTATTTACTTTTTGTAAATGGGCATGCATATTTTCCCTCCATGTTATCGCGAACTTGTAGGACTATCCAAGTAACTTTGTGAACCATGTGGACAATAATGAGGCAAATATTCAACCGCAGGCACATTTATCGTCTACTTAAGATAAGTAGATTGCTTGACCTTATACAAATATACAAAGCACTATACAGTCTATA